ACTCAAGTAAATCTAAATGCAAATTTTAATAACTAAAAAAGAGACCATTTAAATAAATAGCCTTTGCTATGTATTTTACCTCCTGAAGTCTAAAGCATCATTTTAAATCATTTCATCTCAACTACTGTGAATTGAATGAAGTATGTAATTACAACAAACGTTACATAACAATACATAAATAAATAGCAAACATTTAATTGCAGCCTGCTCCTAAACGTACTGAACTTTGATCTCCAGGTGAAAATATTGAAACTCGCTTCATCCTGAGTTCTTAATTTCGCCAGTTAACATCTGCTAACATGTTCATGAAGGTGTTGATCATGCCAGTATGAACGAACAACGAAGTGCTAAATGAAAGTTTTGAAATGTAGAAATTTCCCTCACTCGTATGCAAGTGTATATTTATGTATCTAATAAGTCTGTGTTTGTGTCTGTATGTCTGAGCGTATCTAGATCTCCACACTTGATGGATTAAACTCTGAGCAGTTGAACAGACTGCTTCCCTGCCAGACGCCTGCTTTCTATTGCCTTTGCAACTCAATCAGCGACAGATGCCATCTTGGTCTCAGGACGTGCATGTTATGTATTTTGCCCTCATTTCTTCCTACTCCGCGTGTTTGAACTTTGACCACAGAGTTATGAATATTGGCTTTGAACCGAGAGGAGAATGTGAGTGGCGACCATCAGACACATGATATTCCTGTTTGAGAGCAGCTTCATGTTATTAATCAGAATGAGGGGAAATTGCTTTACACATGATCCTTTTCAAGTTTTTTTTTTTTTATCAGACAGAAAATAACAATATTAAAGACACTTAAGGCTGAAGAATAACAGTGGAAGTTATTTTAACCCTTGTAATGTTGTACATGAACCTAGTTGTGTTTATAGTGGTGGTGGTTTTTTTTTGGTGGGGGGTGTCTGTAATGTAATTTATACAATTCCTAAACATTTAGACTTAGAACTTATTATTATAACACCTCTTCTTAGTTTCCTGTGAAGTGTTTCTAATGTCAGATCCTGATAGTGGATATAAGGATTAGTGACTAATGAAACAAACAACAATCGAACCAATCAACCGCACATCCAACCAAACATCAAACCAGACTAACAAACAACCAAACATCCAACCAAACAAAACAACCAGCCTAACAAACAACCAAACATCCAACCAAACAAACAACCAGTCTAACAAACAACCAAACATCTAACTAAACATCAAACCAGCCTAACATCCAACCAAACAACCAACCAAACAACCAACCAAACAGGACATTATTACATTATATGAATACTATTATTCAACAAACAAATAAATACAAACACAGTAAGTATACATATACAAGTGTAATTCCCCTTTTTTGTAGCATACAAAGTGAGAATCTGTGACAGATCTGAACCTGTATATTAAATCACAGTGTGTACAGAAAGACAGACGGCTAAACTGACAGACAGATAGACAGACAGACAGACAGAAACACAGGCATTACATGGTATAAGGTGCTAATGCCTCTTCCTCATTGTTCACCCAACAATAGCTTCTTACAACATATCTGTATCTGAAGACCTAGGATGTGTTAAATTCTCGCTTTCTTTCTCTCGTATACACACACACACGCGCACACACACACACGGTGAAAGCCTCTTGCATGACAGTGCCTCTTTAGTGTTTGGAAGGCGCAGCAGCACGCTGAGTACGGCTCTCAGTGGGGGGCGCCACCGGGGGATCGCTCTCTCGGCCCATCTCGCTGCTCGGAGCTGAAAGGCCGAGATGGGAGATTAAGGAGGAAAAGCCGTGTCTCCCCCCTGAAAAAAGAAACCGAGACACCCTGTCCAATTTGAACTCATTACCACCAAAGGAATAAATAGAGAATGACGGTGTGCGAGGACAAACTAATGGATCTGAGTATACCCCAAAATGACAACTATACAGAAGATGTCCCAGATCAGGAGGCATTTGGGCATATTCTGGGGGCCTCATGTGAAATATGAGATAATGGAGGGACGAAGGGAGGCGTGAAGAGGACCAAGAAAAGCAAAGCAGCATCGAGAGCGCTACTTGAACTTTCGAACCCCTCACTGGGAAAAGTGTATTTATCAACTTAATAGCAGGTGTCTGATTGGACAGGAGTACTCATGTGAGTTTGATTACGGAAACCAGTCATCCAGTGTGTCCCCTACAGCAAATTCATCTTCATCCTGCTCCTCTTTCACGCTTGTCTGGTGACCAGGTGGAGAGTCCAAGATAAGGCCTGACTCAATGGAGTGACTAGCACACCACACTCCAGCAGACTGCATGTAAAAACGATGGAGTAAGAACGAATGCAGATGTCTCTGTCCTCACTACCATGTAAATTAGGTCCAAGTAAAGTGGAAGACGATAGCCTTCTGCAACCTATCGGGTGGCGTGAGAGGGAAGGAATAAGAGAGAGAGAGAGAGAGAGAGAGAGAGAGAGAACCAGAACATGAGAAAGAGTGAGGTCCATCACAGCAGTGCTACAAT